TCAAACTCGTCGCAGCAGGAGCTTGGAGCTAGCATGGTGGGCAGCACGACCATCTTCAACAGCAAAAGCTGTCTTCCCCAACTAAACTAATCTTTCTTCCTTAGATATAAACAACAAAGTCATAGGACTTTGAGGTTTCTTGCTTATGCAATATAAATCCTCAGCTTATCTTTAGGCCTTTGTACAACCCTGTTATACAATATAACCCCTAACTCGCCTTAGGATTCTGAGATGTTGTCGTTTGTCACGACCTAAATCCTCACATCTTCCAGGCTATTTGTGTGATCGTTTCACACGAATGTAAGCCCTAACTAATAGAATTGGTAGGATAAAACACTTAAATAAGATTCTCTTCTTGAAATTGAAGCCAAACCATATGATAGCTTGAGAAGTCACTGGGGTTCTCCTTAGGATCCATGACATCCCCTAGTCCTTCTTTCTTTAGATTCTAAATAAAATTTTCCAATTTTGAGTCATGCCCCTTTCACTCCACTTTTTTTGTTCTTTTGAAAAGTCCTATCCCCTTTGAATTCCTGAAGACAATATCCGCTGATTTTTATTCTTCTTAAGTGACTTTGGTCATTTAGGATGTAATTAACTATAGGGGCTTGCCCTTATAGGAAGCTTTTCTCGAACCCAGCTTAATATAAACCCTATTTAATTCTTTATATTAAATAGGAGAGAACTTGTCAACAAATAAAATGGTTTTATAGACCAAACATATGTCATATATTCTTTAGTTTATTTGACCAAGCTCCACTCTCAACTTTTGTGCTTATCTTTCGGGATAGATACATCATCAAAACTTTGAAAGATATGATAAGTTCTAAATTAACTCAAAATATTTCAAGAAATCTTTAAAGTGGTCCAGGATCTTTGTCCGAGCACTTTAGAATCTCTTAAATATTTTGAAGGGCAAATTGGCGGTGCCCGACGACTTTTTACAGGCAACTCCTCCAACCCATACATCAGTAATGTGTTCATGTCCCTCTTGGATAAATTTCTGGCTACTCCTCTAGGGAATAGCTTTTCTCTCCATACAAATCAAGAAATATTATCTTCATACATCAGTAATGTGTTCATGTCCCTCTTGGATAAAATTACCCTTCTTCCGTTGGCATACTTTACCCATTTCTGTCTTGGGAAAGTACGGTTAACTCTTTGGACTTCAGGACTAGCTGTTCAACTATCATTAAACAGAGGGGTTCAGAAGGCCATTAAGGACTCTTTAAATTTTCATGTGGGGTCAGACCCCCAATAGGTGTGTCGGTGGACTAGTTCCACTTGGGCATTGTCTGTTACTAAATGGGTACCGCACTGAGTCCTAAAATACTTCACATCTCCCTTCTAAATTTAATTTTCTACTTTGCAAATTGTGTTGTGTTGCGCGCAATTTGAAATTTTCTTACATTAATTAAATTTTACACCTCTTGATTTTTCTTAAACAAGATTTTAAAATACTCATAAATTAAGATCTGCCTGGTCTATAGATCAACCTCTACTTTCAGTGCTTGTACTAAAAAATACTAGGTTTTTGGCCATATAACTAACTCCAAAACTTTCTGTTTTTAAGCCTGCTGCGATGGCCTACCCAACGCTGACCTTTTCCTGCAACCTGCCAACGAGCCACGAAACCCGTAATCTCGCTCCTACCATCAAATTCAGAGCTAGATTTGAAGATCTTGAGGTCATTCTTGGGAAAGCCCCGTTTGTAGTGATGAAGATCATCACACCAGAAATACAGGAACCGTCTGCCTAATTCAACCTGAACTGCCTGCAAGACTTCCCTGCATGCAAGAAGGCCAAAACTACTACTGTCACGACATCCGCTAAACCTGTTATCCCCGCTACTGCTAAGGGGAAATAAGTAATGATTATTGAGGAGCCGACTGAGGTAATAACTGTCCCACCACCCG